GTTATGCATAGAAAAAGGTGTTCATTATATTTAATATACCAGAATTTTACCAATATCAAGTTTGAAAAGAAGTTAAAAATCTGTTTAGTTAAGGGAAAATGTTTAACCATTTCACGATTCATTATCTGAATTACTGTGCATGCAGTACAATAGAAAATCACATTGTTCCATAAAGTAGTAATTAAGGATAGAGGTTCTGCTTTTTTTTTCCTTTTTTTTCCTTAAGGTAAAATCTACAACTTTGACTACAGTCATTGTCCTCCCCAAACATGTTAATCTCCACATCAATGAAACACTTCTTTTGCGATGATAAATCTCAAATCTACAACATTTATTGTAATTGGAGAGATACCTTTACCAAAAGGAAGAAAACGCTATTATGCTTTTTTTTGTTCTTTTGTTTTGTTTTTTGGGGTGTGTGGGGTTTTTTTGGTTTTTTTTTTTTGATTGTAGAGGAAAGAAGATTGATGACATCCTGATCATCTAATGTAACACATGTAGGTTACAATGACAAGACAGCTTGCTTTAGTCAGCCTGTACCAAGCTCATGTGAAGTGAGGTCAGAGACTATTAATCATTTGTCAAAGACTGTGGGCCCTTATCAGCCAATTATAGCTACAAGAACTTTATATCACATCCACAAGTGGCAAAGCTATGAAGGACTTAAACCGCAGTACAGTGGTGACACTTTTTATAGATAAAACAAATCTAGACAAAATGCTGGCCTGAATCGCACCATTATTCCATTTAGCAATTTTAGTAAACACTTCATAATATCGCTGGTTTTCCTTAAAATTTTAGGGATCTTGTATGCTCCTTAGTTTTAGGAGGTTTCTTTTTTAAAGATCCCATTGAAGAAGCAATTGACTTGCATGTACACAGCAGATAAATCTAGCTTATTTTACAAGTTAGCTACCGGACTGGCTTGAGGATGATCCTGAATCCTACCACTTCAGAGCAACCGGAACACTCACTTTTCACAGCAAAATCTATGGTCGGAGCATCATGGAAAAGAACAAGATGCTGGAAAGGGTAGCTAGGAACCTAATAAAATGACAACTCATTGCTTCTTCAGATTCTTGCTGGAATTTTGTGGCTGACAATTTACATAATCAGCTACAGATGGACTCTCAGTGTCAGTGAGGAGGCTTAAGACTCTGCTCCTGTCCCCACATTGGGTCATGATCATCCATCAGGTGGGGCTAACTTGAACACATAGGGCTGAAGGGTACGGTACGCTATATGCTGATGCATACACACACACTTTCACATACCTGCCTGGCAAGCGTGAGCTTCCAGCAGTGCAGAGGAGATAGAGGTAGAGCTAACAAGGGAGTACAGTTCTATTTACTCCTGGTAATTCTGTGCAGGTAACCCTGACCAAGCCCACAGTAAAGGCACAAGCAATACTTCAAAAAATCCTGTTCATTGATTGATATATTAAATAACTTCTGCAGGTTCCAACCACCCTTGGAAAAGCTGTCAGCCCCACATACACAGAATAGTTTGGGGGGGCTGCTGATTTTAGAGCTCTTAACATATGAAATCCACCAGCCACTCATAGAGGCAACAAACTGAACTTCAGTTTAACAATTATTTTCATTTGTGAATGAAACACAGCTTGATCATTCATTCTTTGGTTTGAGACCACTGATCAATAGACCTTCTCATAAAATGATGTCTGTATTTTATGTGCTAATTTTATATTCTTGGATATAGTCCAAATCAGGCAGACATTTACCACCATCAAATTTCTGTGCCCACAATTCACTACGGGAATAATTTTTTTTTAACACATACAGTTAAATGTCTGGGTAAAACCTAACTGAAAATTTGGCTATGTACATTTTGTATGAAATTACTTCAGTAAAATAGACTTCTTGTGAAGGGATACCCAATGAAATGCTGAAATATTTGTGTCCTACTTCAGTGTGGTTTCTGGGGAACAGCTGTTTGAATTTCAGAGGAACAAGTTTTCTTCGGTAGCTTGGGAAGAGTTGAGTGGGATGCCAGCAGAGGACCTGGTGAGGCAATGCTTATAAAGGAGAGTTTCAACTTATAAAAAACTCTCTCTCAAAGATGGAAAAATCAGCTTTTATCAGAAATAAATTTTCTGGAGAGCACTTGTAGAAGTTCAAAAAGTCTATTCATAGAATTAGGCTCAAGTGACCTTTTTCAGAGAGCAGCTCCACATTTTGCAGTTCAGTATGGCTGAAATTCCTCTAGAATATTTACTTTGTTTCAGCATTCCCTTTCATGAAACTTCCAAACCTTCTATGACACAAATATTTTGGAGGACAAATGCTTACTAAGTAGATGCAGGGTACCCAGCAATTTCCAGTGCCTGCACTGGAGGAAGAAGTAACATAGATAGTTACAGCTTCCTATTTGGAGAGAAGAGCGCAATTCTGACGTTCAGCTAGGACTGGGCAGCACATCAGTCAGTGGGAACTGCATAGCTAAGGCTTGAAACACTGCATATCATCTTGCTCATCTGGCTCTGTAACCTCTGCAATCAGCCTGTCTCCTTTCATTAACTGGTTCTACTCCTTGCAATGCAGCATGATGTAGAGGTGATTTGGATTGCAGCGGCAATATTCCTGGCAGACTTATGACCTTTACCTGGTGGAACCAATGGAAAATGAGTCCAGCTGGGTCTTTTTATTGACTGCATTTCCATTATCTTCACAGGTGCTTTCTTTCCTGGCTTGTTCTTTTATCTTATTATGGACAGAAGCTACATTTACTGGACAATAGCTTCCACATCGCGCTCTTTTCATTTCCCAGAAAACATCACTACTACACTTTTTAAAGTTACTTGAGACCTGTCAAATTCTTTATCACTCCTTACAACAAACTAGTTGTTGTTTCAGTAAGTGCATCATGTAACTGTCTTCATGCCATGGCATTTATACCTGCGCATCTACAGAGGATATATCAATTTTTCAAATATTCTCTGTGTTCCCCTACATAGCTACAGTAGGCTTTCAAAGACATTTCGACATTTTCCAGTTGCTCATACATTACTTGTTAAAATTGGCTTTAAAAACAGTTTAGGAAGTAAGTTATAGAATTACCATTAATTTTATCTCCCTCTCATTTAGGTACACACCCTCTGTGAAAAACATTCGGAGTTTTCCATTACAAATGAAAGGTAATGGTGTGAATAATGGTATTCAAGTCACATCATCTCGTTTTTATATCATGATGCAAACTGACCTCATAATTTTGTCATCTTCTGTATTTACAGCCCAATAATGCTTTTCTGGCAGTTCACAAGGGCTACTAAATTTATGAGGCACTTTCAAGTCAGGTATTTTACGAATACTGTGCCTGCATTTCTTGAAAATGATTTCTAGAGAAATTTAAGTCTACTGTCTAGACTGGATTAAAATAGCCTAAGAACTAAGTTGTAATTTGGACTATTTTGTTCTAAATTTTATTATATACAACTTTTCATCGTTGAGCATATTAACTTGATATGATGAAACGGTTTATTTTTACAGATAATGGTGTTTATTCTGTTTTTCAGTATATAGAATGTACCGAGTACTGAATTGCTTTAGCGCATGCATAAAAATAACTTAATAAAATCTGACTCAACCAATATATGGGCAAAAAGAAGACAAATAATGTAGCTTGCACTAAAATATAAGCAATTCTAATGCCATGAAAATTATGAAACCGATTCTGGGATAAAGAGTCCTCGACAAAGTGTCAGTCGCAAGATAGCTGATATCTTAAGTCTGTAGACTACAGTCAAGCGTCTCCATTCAATTCATCCATTGTAACAATTCACAAGGACAGAGATAGTTCCTTTGATAATGAGCACCCAAGGCAGAGAGGTTTTCTAGAGTAACATGAGCACTTTGATTTACATGTGAAAGGGAACAGGAATCCACCATTATACTTTAACTCCAGTAATACATTGTGTGTAGTAGGAAATAGATGCATGTTGCAATAACTGACACATCTGGGTGAACTTGCACAGCAAGTTTCATAGCATTCACTTCATAAAATCTAACAAGCTAATAAAAATGTTTATGGCAAGTGAGACAAGTAACTGGAAACATCTGTGTGAGGAGAAATGCATATTATCTTGCACAACTGACTGGCAGTATGCTATCATAAAACATTTCAGACTGTTGATAAAAGATAAAGAAGTTGTGTCTGAAACATCCTTTCCTTCTATTCCCCCCAACACACATACATCGTCCAGTTAAACTCGGACAAGCAAAATCCACATTAATCACACCAAGTGAAAGTGAAACAGGGCTACTTTCTAAAATACGTAGACCTCTTGTTCAGGCTCTTAAAACATTGACAAAGTGATGTTGGGGTTTCACAGAAGGCAGTTCTGAAACTGGTCAATTAATTTTGATTGTCTCAGTTTGATTTGTCCCTAGCCATCCTCTCCCCTTACGTTCAAATCCCCATCTCACATTAAAATCACAGGGATTTTGTTGCTGATTCTAAACAAAACAGATCAAGCTACCTGGCAGCCAAAATATGTTGTAGACAGGATCCCTTTGAACTATCCCACAGCATTGTAACACCCTCTCCTGACTGGGCTATCTATTGAAAAGCCCTGTCTAAATAAGTAGCATTAAAATTTTTTGTAACAGATGGATTCCTTGACACCTACAGTCGCATACAGCATTCTGGTTCTAAGCCTTCAGAACAGAGAGGAAGAAAGAAATAGGTGTATGTATGTAAGATGAGGAAGATTTGCTGAATCACACATCAAAGCAGGTGTAGGAGCAAGGCCTATGACAGTTACTTAAAATACAGTGGCACATTCAAAACATGCAGAATTCAGTTCTGCATTCCAGGACAATGCAGACATACTGCAGACAATGACTAAAACGAGCAATAGTAAAGCCCTCTGAGAGGAGGTAGCAATGGAAAAGAGATTTAAGATTAAATCCAAGAATGTCACATTTAATATTCAGAACACTCTAACTGAATTCTTACTGCCTGGGCTATAAGTGGAATCTTACCGTGGGTTGGAATGAGAAAGTGGGCTCATTTCTTTCTGATAGTGATGCTCCTGACTGACGGGCTATGGAAAACAAAAAATAATAGTAAGAAAATAACCTTGCAAATATTCTTTCAGAATGTTTAGAAGTATGTAAGAGATCTTTTATGAGCATCACATTTGCAGCTTCTGATATTATAATTTAAGTCTTTTATCTGTGAAATTTAAAATGGATATTCAGACTCTAACCGTGCAAAAGTACAATTTAACAGATGATCCTTGTCTGGGTGGAAATACATATGAATTAAGGAGTCGACCACATGGTCATTTCTCTACTGCCTGTGAGAGTGTTGGGACAGAGTCAGGAAACTTCAGAGAGGGAAGGGTGGCAAAGTCTTGTCTGACAGAAAAGTCTGGACTGTACGTAGGAAGCATGGGGCACGAACTCTTAGTTGGATCTTTGCAGACACACCCGTTTTTAAGACTAGACAACACTGAGCCAGAACTAACAGGGCTGGCAGGCATGGTTTCTCTCTCCTCAGAAGCACCATTAATCTTAGCAGTCCCAAGTGAAGTTTCCTGAAGTACATATGATTCTCTATGCACTGCCAATTTGAAACCTGGATTAAGCTGTTCATGAATAGCTAACAATGGACTGTATGAATATTCATACAAAAGGTAATTTTCCACAGTCTTCAAATCTTACCTACCCATTGTAAGAATGTGCCTCAAAGATTTCAAACCACATTTGGTTTATGGCATTAAAAAGCTATTTGCAAGAAAGAAAAATTTAAAAAGTTATTTGCAATATTCATAAACTGGTATAAAAATTCAAGAATTCTAAAATTCAGAAATACATTTTCTCTCAGTATGTATGTGGTGCTTCCAGAAGAGACCTCCCCGCCATTATCACACACCTCAACAGCAGTTCTAAACAAACCACTGAAGCAAATGCAAAAGAAATGACAACACAAGCATATATTAGTGATACTTGTACACTTTAGTACATAAAATGCTAAAAATATATACTAAGCTTTATAAAAGCACTTGCTTTTTTTCAGAAATCAATATTAAAATTAGTATGTTCTCATGGTATCAGGAAGCGGGGAGGGATGTTGTAAAATATATGTTCAGGATGAATGACATCCTAATTACTGTCAAATATGAGTCACTGCATGGTGGTGGATAGTGCAATTCCACATGATGGCTAGTAGAAGACTGAGGATGAGACAGAAAGTGAATTAGTCGGTCTATGAACCAGAATAGCTGTCTAAATAATTTTTAGTCTCATTTCATAGTAAAGAATAGTCTGCCTCAGTTTTGCAATTTGACTTGATGTGAACAGAACCCTCCAGGGGTTGTCAAACTGAGCTCTCTGCTGGAATAATTCTGGGTTTAAGTATCACTCCTCTTGTCTGTCAGACTTCATTTCTGCCAGACCATTTCTGTGTTAAGCGGCTTTCTTTTCTGAATCATCACAAAGGAGGCCAGAAGAACCTGCAAGTACCCTTTCAGATATTTTGCAGATCAAGGCCTATGTGACTATTTATATTTAGGAAGTTGCTTGGGGAACAAGTAATCTTTCTTCTCCGTGAATGCCTCTTACTCAAAAGACAGGTGAGCATATTTTGGAGTCTGCTAATGGAGGATTATGCCACTACAAGCTTCTAGGATATATCAGTGAGCAATCTAGGAGAATCTTCCTTCTCCTTTGCATTTCTTACTGAGAATCAGGGACCATATGCAGAAAGATATCCTGAATTCTCTTACATATGATCTTGCTCCAGAATGTTTGTGTTATATCTGAAGTGGTGTCTGAAGTGTGGAAACAGCTATCCAAGAAGCTGAATGGGCCAATTCCCTGATAGGGCAGGAAGGTCTTACCGGATCTCTAGAACAAAAGCAAGGCATTTAAGCAGAAATATTTTGTAAGTTTTGCAAATTTTCCTGGATAATGTGTATATGTGTGGGTATAAACTTCACATTAATGCTCCACAATATATAGAACTGTGTCTTTCATATTGTTGCAAAGCTAACATGGAATTTCATAGACCTTAAGATTTAAGAAAACATTCAGGTAAGACACAGTCAAATAAAGTATTTTAAAATATTTAGTTCCACATACATATAGTATTGATTTGGAACTGTACCCCACACACATTTTACAAGGGTTTACAATTGTCCTTTGAAGTGAACCCATTTTAAAATAGAAGTTTTTCGTATTTATAACTGATAGCTATGCTGGGTAATGTAGAATATTCAAACCTACTTTACTTCTTATTGGCTGTCATAGTTTACAGCAGCTGCTAAAAAACTTACATTTCAACGATTACTCCTGACAGCATATATTCAGTTCTTGGTAAACTATCATAAGTTATAAAATAGAGTTTTACTGTATCTGTTTTATAGTTGTTTAAGGACATCTGTTCTAACTGCAACTTAGCAATATGATTGATCTATGTGCTTTTACATTCAGAAGGATTTCATTAGAGTCAGTAACATGAGAATTTTCAATGAATCTGGGTATCAGGCTAACAATGGCAAGTGATGGAAAAAATAAACTCACTAAAAACGTGTTTTATATATAAAATGTTACTTTGATACCTAAGTTCACTATCTAACATGATTATATCCTGCCCTGCCTTGCCAAACATCATAGGTATTTCAATATCAAAGATACACAGAAAGCTGCCTTCTGGTGGTGCTGTTGCCATAGGTTCCACTAAGGGACAAAAAAGTATAAAATGAATGAAAATTTGGAATAAAAACACTCCTTACTTATCTTTGACGAACATAAGAGAAAGCAATAGATACTACTGATTTAAATAATCAGAAAGATACGACCTGGAAACACATGTAAGCATGAAAGTTTAATCATGACGAGGATTTCAACCTGTCCTTAATTTCTCAAACAACAATATGAGGATTATTTCTATTTCTTTTCTATATACTGCACTGCCAAAATCATTTGCCTACACAACTGGAAGATGGCTACAGATATGTACAAACTTTTCTGCAGTTTGTACATTTGATTTTGGAAGGATTGATCATTTGCAAATTCTCTGAACTAAAATGACAGTGGTACTAAAGATCAGTGACATAAAAACAAATTTCCTTTTATTCTACACATTTTTTAAATAAATATACACATAACGAACACTTCTTGGCAAAAACTGGAAGCTGACGAAGTGATGACTACTCATTTTAGGTCTTACACCAAGATAACGCATGAGGGCAGACTGAAATCCAGGAGGAACAACCTTCTAAAGTGTTCTAATCCCTCCAACTAGGATGTATTTTGATCTCTCAGTTATGTAGACTACCTATTCATACAGTAACATGTTTACTGCACATGTGAATGCTATGTGTGGGAATTCACTGAAAACAGCTATATGAAATTATCTGACAGATGTATAGATTTGAAAGCCAGAAGGAAGAATTAGATCAACCCATGATCATATGTATATCACAGGCTATTAAGCTGTAGATCACCAAGAAAAAACACTGAACAACATCAGATCTAGAACTGACTGAATCATGAAGTTGGTTCCCCTGAATATATTCTAGGTCACAGATAGTTT